CTGTCTTGAGCTGGAAGCTAATAAACGCAACAGAACTGTATTTGCATTGTCTCGTGGAGTTCTTTGGGCTGAACCTGACAGCTGATCACCCAAGGCAGCTCTCCTATGACCCTTTCCTTGGTTCCTCTCCTCAGAATGTACAAGGAGAAGCCCATTGCCACTGATGACCTCCGGACAGTACAAACATCCCTCTTCAGCCTGATCAAGGACTTCTTCTGCAGAAATATCACCAGTGATGAGATGCACAGCACCATGAACTATCTGGCAGCTGTAAATGATGAGCATCAGGTGGGCTGGGGACAGAGCCAAGAGCTTGCAGAAAAGGGCTGGAGAACATCGGGGTGCCCAGATTGATTGGTGCATTGCTATCCCTCTTGTTCCCAGACAAGGAAGCCTGCTTACTCAACCTGGCATCTTCCAGATGTGTTAGATTTCATCTCCCAGAATTCTCCTCCTGCATAGCCAAAGGCTAGGAATGTTGGGAGTTGAAATCAACCATGCCTTAGAAAGTTCCATATTGAAGGAGGGTGCTCTGAAGTATGGATTCTGGATTGGGACCCTGGCTTAAGGGCTTACTATCAAGAGAGTTCAAATCCCAGATCTCAGATCTACCACAGGAAGAACTTGAGCATAAACAAAGATAAACTGATTAACTGTGGGTAACATTTAGTGCAGCCTAACATACTGTTTCAAGATGTGCAAAAGTACACCCTGAACAACCATAGACACCATTGCATTGAGATTCTGAGATCAGAGGGCAATGTTAAAAAGGAAAAGTCTGCCCAGATTTGGTATAGCAGCAGCTTCTATCTTCTGGTGTGTCTTGCAGGTATGTGGGGTGCTGGAAGTGATCCACAGCCTGCAGAAGAGCTCCCCATGCCAGGAGCAGCTCTTCACTTTCCTGTTTGAGCCAGGAAATGTGGAGATCCTGTTCTCGCTGCTCATTCAGCGGAAGTTCTCAGATGAAGTGCGGGAGAGGATCTTCAAGGTGGGAACCCATCCCCATTAGCTTTGCATTTCTCCCTGGGATTCTGCGATCAGCAATGGAAACTGGGTTGGGTCCAACTGGATCTTCTCTGTTGATGGCCATGGGGACTGACGGGTGTCATGCACTTCTCAGTGGGAAGGTTGGGTTTGTGTGTAGAGCTCCTGGGGATGCACAGGGCTGAGAAAATAACCACAGTCCCAGTGGTGTGGTGAACAAGGCTCTGATTCTCTCCTCTGGGCAGGATATCTCCAAAATCCACAGAATTGCCCTAGATTTTACAGCAGATGCACAGATCCTGCTAAAAACAGCATCACTGCACTTCCCTTCGTAATATATAGGACAGCTTTTCCCAGCCTAGTGACCTCCAATGATGTTGCTCTACAATCCTCATCATGCACAGCCAGCTGCTAGGGTGGATGTGATGGGAGTTGTAAACCAGCACGTCCACAGCATCACAACCGATGCAGCCATGCCCCAGGGGAGAATCCGATGCAAACCACAGTCTTTTTTGCACAGATTATGTACAAGCTGCTGAAGTACGAGAAGGTGAATGAACGGAGCAAGCACCGCCTGAAGCTGAAGGACATAGGCTACCACGGCTTCATCTCATACTTGAACGACATCCCTGTTTCCATACTGTTCTTCCGGTGCCTTTTGGAGCAAGTCCTTGGAGCAGGTAGCTGCCAGGGGCCTCTCTTTGTTTCTCTGCTGGCATGCGTGGAGCTTCACGAGGATCATTATCAGAAGACACATTTCCACCAAAACGCCACTGTTCATTATTTTCCCACCATACATCCCACCCAGCCAATTAGGAATGCCGTGTATCATTCTTGGCAAAATGCAGGACATTGTACCTTTGCTCCTAATCTTCCACGTCTTGGAGCTAAGTAGCTTTCTCCTAACTTGGGGGGCTGTTTCAGATGAGTTTTGGAGGATGTATCTAGAAAGAAACTATGATGAGAATTGATCGAGCTCTGTAGCAGGAGCTGGCAGAAGCTTGGAGTTATCAGAGGGAGTTGAAGGCTTGCACTTACTCCGCACTTTCCTTGAGTAGCTTGGTTTGCACATGAGAGGACCGTGGTTGTCAAAACACATAGCCCTCTGCTTCTCTTGGGAGGAGTGAGCCAGAAGGAGAACAGGAGAAACCCACGGTTTGACAGTGTTCTCAAAGTACCAAGTGTGTAGAGGCAACATGCAGCAGAAACACATCAACACAAGTGAGATACATACACAATCACCCAAGTGTGTCTGGGCTCCCACAATATGCTAGATTATGCCAAAGTCTGGTTCTTACTGGTTCAAGCATAGGTTGGTTTCTGGTTTGGCCATTGCCTTCGCCTGTTGCAGTGTTTCTCAACCTTGGCAACTTGAAGATGGGTGGACCTCAATTCCCAGAATTCTCCAGCCAGCATGCTGGCTGGAGAATTCTGGGAGTTGAAGTCCACCCATCTTCAAGCTGCCAAGGTTGAGAAACACTGGTATATTATATTCATCAGAGCATCCAGTTGAGTTCTAAGACTAAGCACAGCAGTTTTGTGTTTGGCTAACTGGAGTTTAGCATGTTGTATGAACGCAGCTGCTGCATATCTGCCACTGTGGATGCATCTTCCTCTGCTGATGGGTGGATGGGCAAGAAACTACCTGAACCTGCCTGTTATCAGCAGGGTAACATCAACTTGGGACTTCCACGCTCATGGTAGCAGCTCTCACTCCTCTTCCCATTTGTGAGAACACACATGGAAGAGAGGTGAACTAGTTAGCACTCCAACCCTTGTTTTTGCTGTAAGTAAGAAGCTGTTCTGTTCTTTGTTTTCTTATTCTCAGATTCTCCAAACTACAAGGATTTGATGGCTGTAGTTTACCTCTCCCACCGGGCAGATTTGACAGTCAGGCTGGACATCTGCAGGAAGGTATGTAGGAACCATGACTCAGAACCTCTTGGTTCAACTAGAGGGAAACAGCTAATTTGCACCGAAGTCTTGGAAGTTGTTTTATTGGGCTGGTGGCCTAAGTGTCACACTTCTCTGGACAGGTTGATTTGGAAAAGGCACAAGAGACATTCAGGGACTCAAGCTTCTGATAGGTAGATTTACTGGAGGAAAAACAAACGAAGCCATTATGAAAGGATTCCAGTGACTGCTACAGTCAGGTCCAGAAATATTGGGATATCGACACAATTCTAACATCTTTGGCTCTATACAGCACCACAATGGAT